GATGGATTTATGGAGGGCTTCATTAAATATAGGCTTAAAGGATATCCGCTATCGCCCACTTGTCAAAAGGAAAAATAATATCAAAGCCATCCGTTCAGATCAGAGATGCAGGTGTTAACAGTGCATTATAATCTGGTAGTGTTTAACTCGCCAATTAATCGCAGTAGTCTTGTCTGAGTTCAGACATTTAAAAGATAAATTTAAAAGATGAATGCATCTCGTGCAGACTTAGGGCACGTGTACAATGATACCGTGCTGCTAATGATTCTTGCTTTGGCATCCTGGTCCACATCCGTGTTTCCCTTACAAAAACACCCCTTCCTCGTGGCTCTGTGTGTGTGGCGCTCAGCCTCAGGAATAGGCTGCTCTTGCTTGCGTTTTTATTTWATTTTTTTAAGAGGATGAATGTATTGGTCTGAGCGTGCCTCGGTGCTGCCTCGAGAAAAAGCGATGCTTCCTGTCTCCAAAACTGCTGTTTTCCTTCTCAGTGTTAGAGGCAACAGCGTGCACAAATAGCCCTGCGCCAGAGGCTCCTGGCTGCCCAGGGATGCACAAATTCCCAGCCTCTAGGAACCAGCTGGGATGCCTGCACGGGGACAGTTCATGCAGGCAGCAGCCCTGCAAAGCCCACTCTGAAACCAAGCAGAGAACACCAGATGCACCAGGCCAAAGGCTCACATGGAGAAGGTGCATCCTCCTGTACATAAAACACGCACTTCTGAGAGCAGGCACAAATAATGCTGTCTCAATTTGCTTGTGCCTGGATCGCCTGTGCAATTACACGTGTTATGTGCAGCCAGGATGCACCTCTGGTCTGAGCCATCTCTTTGGAAGCAGAACTGCCTATAATTTGCAAGTCATGTTATGAGAGAAAAATGCCAAAGATAGAGTAAAAGTGAATGTAGCTCAGTACCTCTCACTCCAAAACTGAACTAATCTTCCAGAATTAAAAGATCAAAACCATCTAGTTATTTTCGTCTTCTGCAATGTTCATCAGGCAAAAGCAAGGAAGGAGTCCCATGTATAAAAGACTCAAACATTCATTTTCTAGCACAACTAAAACAGAATAAAATATACAGCATGTTTTCCTAGATAGGTAGTAAGTAGAATTTGCAAGTGTGCTGTCAAATTAGCGTTTTTTGGTTTCAATAAGAAACCTGCCAWGGATTAGTTCCTTGGAGGAGATGAGACGTCCACCTATAATACTGTTTATTATTTCAGCGCTCTTTAAAAATACTGACTTTTTAATGTGAGTTCCGTTGATTTCTCAATATTTACTCTGCAGGATTTGGACTTTGTTCTTATTATGTCGTATGAAATAGCTGGACGTAAAAATTTGATTTAAGATGCTTGCAGTCAGTCAATTGCCAGACGAACCTCTGCTTGTCTCTGCGCCCTTGCGTGGCAGACACAGGCGACTGATGAGTATTCAGGGCATCAGAGAGAGTCCTGCTGGCAAAACCAGCGCACTTGTGCTGCCTGCTATGGAAAAAGGCATTAAGTCATTCTAGTCGGTTGCCTCATGGCTTCCTACCGCCTTTTTCATTAAACAGAGGAGCTCAGCCTTGGGACCTTGGGGAAAAAAAAAAAAGAAAGAAAAAAAAATGTTAAATAGGATGTATACTTGTACAGCAATAAGGACACTAACAGCATTTGATAAAGACCCTGGAGGATAGTTATGGAAGCTGTAGAACAAGAGGCTCAGAATTGGTGCTAAGACAAAACATTCAAGAAAACAAGAACAAAAACATAAAACTTACTTGCTTGATTAATTTAATCATTTCGGCAAAAGAAACCCTGGAACAAGCAGGGGCTAGAGGAGAAAAACACAGATAATGATTTAAAATTATGAAAGCTAATTAAGTCTTTTTAATTAGCAGCTGTACAGCATGAATTCTGCAATGTGCAGCGCTTGCTGGTGAGCTCAAGTTCTGCGCTTACTGAAATCGAACATGAGAAAAATAAGCCAGGGGCAGCAGAGAAACCAAGGTAGGTTTTATTGCACTTGATTAAACAAAGCCAACTTCTTCGTCCGAGGCTGGAAACTTTCCTTTGGGGACTCCCCCTCAACAGACAAAATGAAAAAGGCTTYGCTCCCCTCTCCAAAACCAAAGATTTGGAAGCCTGCGGAGCACAAGCTGCTGCAGATTGAGAGCTCACCATCACATCCCTGTGYGAAGCTACCCCTGCGCAAGCTAAATGTTAAGGAGGACATTTAGCCTGCTGGGCTACAGCCCAGCCCAGTCTTAATTTTAGCAGTGATTTTTCTAACTGAAAGTCAGAAGCACCACAATTCAAACCAGAACCGYGAAGAAGGTGGTGAATATTTGTTGGACCTTTGGGGTGCCACGGGGTGGAATCGCTTCTCCTATCACCACGGCTCGATCACTGCTGCTCTTTGCTGCGCGTGTGACTGCTTTTTTACCCAGCTCTGGGTGAGCCGGACGCATGTCCCTTCCCTCCTCCGTGGGGGCAGGATCTGGCAGCCCAGATCTCTTGGAGGGGAAAGTGGGGAAACTCAGAAAGGAATCTGAGTCGGGGAGAGTGAGGAAACTGCGGAAAGGGCAAACTGTGAGGTTTAAAAGTTAACACTTTTAAACCTTGTACCTGGTGCCACTTGCAATTCAAAGAAAATAACACCGACATTTCAGAGGTTTTATTTCAGTTACAGGCTGAGCCTCCAGTCTTGAGGTTATGATTCTCATTTAAGCCAGTTATAGAGCATTAGACCAGTGGTTTTGTGGCAATGATCTTATCTTGCGTAACAGTTTTGGTCAAGTATAATATCCTGTTCAGGTTTTCAACTGCTGCACTATCACATGAAGTGAATTCTATCATCTATGACCTTCCTCTCAGTAAAAATAAACTGAGAAAAAYTGGACCAAACATATTTCAAGAGTTGAAATGTTTATACAAGGAGAAGGAATTTCCATTTCAGTTGTCCTTGTAAGTTGATAAGAAAAGTAGGCTTGATAAGAGCAAGAAATTAAAATGTAAGTATGTTGAAATAGAGTCTGAAAGTCAGTTCTACAAAYATTTTTTGTAATAAAAATTGCAATAGGTGTAGAATGACATTAAAAATATCTACACAAGCATTCTTTGTATTTGTGGCTGAAACTGGTATAATTTTTCTATTAAAGTTACATTGTTGAAATGTCCTTATTACAAAACATCGGGATGTCTCCACTTCAACTGAAAAGGAGAAAATTTAAATGACAGTTGCAGTTTTTGTGCTGTTGTAATCCAYGGGATAACCTGAGCTGTTACTTGGTGAGTTCTCATAGGACTTGCTACTTTTTATTGGTCTTTCCTCTCTCATGTGTAGTCTTTGCTTTTATTWTWTTTTTTTTTTTYCTAATAGCCTTAATTTTTCTCTGGGAAAATATTATCACTTAAATTACTCATTAATAACAAATTATTTTCTGAAGAGAAAATTCCATTAGAAAACTTGTGGGTTTACATGAGTCTCTTGCAAATTTAACATTGAAATCAGATGGTCTAATCACACTGAATAAAAGAAACCTGAAGCTGCGGGTTAGAAGCTTTTGGGGCAGATGCTGCATCCTTTTAGGAATGAATGTTTTTGGTGGTCTTGCACTTGAAAAAGGTTCAAATTGTGTGGGGAACGGGGCTACAGTGTGAGATGCTGAGACRGATGTGTCAATTGGACAACTTTATCTGATCTTTATCTGCACTGGACACATCCTCCGTCAGTGTAAGTGCCCTGGTATAAATCTCAGTGGTTTTGAACAGGAAGATGCTGCACTGATAAGAAGGTGTCTACTGACCTTGTGCATCCACGAGCAGTGGGCACCATAAACAAGGTTTCAGTTAGAGAAAGCATCTAACAAACTGCCAATAGTGGAAATACCTAAGGTCCATGGGMTGGTTCCTGGGAAATGAGTCCCATGGGAGAAGTTTCTGGCCTAAGCCCTGATGCCCCTGAGGCTGCTGCCTCTGTCCAGCTGCTGGAAGACTGCACTCAGCATGGAACCTGTAACAGGATCTCACTAACATAAACAAATAAATGAGACCTCCCAACAATTTTTGTTCGTTTGATTTGTTTTTATTAATATAAATCTAGTCACTTTGCAGGTCTGATGTAGAGCACAGCAAGTTATCCCTTGTGGGGCAAGAAGAGGAATATTTAAGGGGTGGTGGCTGGATGCTCATCAGCCAGACATGAAACCATAACGTGGAACCAGCCTAACGAGTTACACCATCTGAAGGCAAACTGCTGCTCTCCACCATTATTTGCTTTAATTTCTCAACCACTTCTTGGTTTTCCTCGCTGCCTTTAATCAGTCTCTTGTCTGTTCTGGTGGTTGGCTGGATATCATTAACCCTCTGAGACTTTCCTATTTGTGGTTTTTCGAGATGTAACATAACATCCTACATTTTTAAAAGACCGCGTTAAATGATTTGACCAACATYTCTCATGATAACGTTGCTAGAAAAGTCTACATCACTTAAATGGGATCATTACAGAAGCAGTGCAGGAAGCGGCCCTGTAAAACTGACCTGGGCGAGAGRTGAACGGCTGAACGCCTCGGAGATGTGACTTGCACCTCAAGCACCCTCGATGCGTGGGCAGCCAGCAGCCCCCGTGGGCCTCTGCACCCAGGGTGGCTCTAGAAACCCGCAGGCTGTCGCGTGGCGGGTGTGGGGACGATGGAGCAGAGCTGAACCCCGCGAGGACGTGGAGTGGGGCACGGAGGGGGGCAGGCGGGAACACGCTGAGGATGGATGGATGGATGGATGGACGGACGGGGCGGGGGGGACCGGGATAAAAGCCGAGCAGGTGGCGGCCGGCCCGGGCTGCAATAGCGGGAGTGCGGCCGAACCGAACCGAACGGGGTGGGGCAGGGCGGGGCGGCACCTGCGCGCTGGCAGCGCCGAGCCCGGCCCACTGGAGCCGAGCCGAGCCGGGCCGGGCCGAGCCGCGGCGCTGCCGGGAAGCGCATCCCGCTCCGCTCCGCCCCGGCGCGGCCGCCGCGGCCATGACCGACAACATCCCGCTGCAGCCCGTGCGCCACAAGAAGCGGATGGACAGCAAGCGCCGCAGCGGGTGAGCGGCTCGGTTCGGCTCGGCCGGGCCCGGCGGAGCGCGGAGGGTCGGGCCGGGCGCGGGGCAGGTGCGCGGGCTTGGGCGCTGGAAATGCGGCGGAGCCGCCCGGCCGCGGGGCGAGCCTGGCGGCAGGAGGAGGAGGAGGAGGCGGCAGGCGCTGACAGGTCGCTCCTGACGCCATTGCCGCGGCGCGCCCGGCGGCAGCCCCGGCGCGGGGCCGGCTCGGCCCGGTGCCACCGAAC